TGTATAGAAAAATGACTGTTTAAAATATGTATTTGGAAGCTTAAAATTAATTTTATTAAACAACATTTAATAAAAAAAGAACAAAAAATTTCCCGAGACTTTTTCATGAACATCATTTTTCTGCTTCAATATTTCAGGAGTTAATTAAACAATTTTTGTTTATCATAAGAAATTAAAAGTAAAACGTAAGAAAGGTAATAAAAAGCGCATTTTCCCATTATCTGCATTGTACCCCCTTATCCGCATAGTATCCCCGCATCCGCATTTTATTCCCCGCATCCGCATTTTATCCTCTCATCCGCATTATATTCCCTCGTTCCATTTACCCTCTCTATCCGCATCCGTCATCCTCGTTTTATCCCTAGCACATTCGATTGGCTTCATTTAATTCACAGTATGGACCAATCAGCTTTGTTTACAAACTTAATTTAGCCATGAAATAGCATGCAAAGCGTCGTTCTTTTAAAACGCCATACTATATTGATAGTTGGCAGTTGCCGGACCTGTTGATGCCAAGAAAAAGTCAACTGACTAAACCCTGTTTAAATTATACCAAACTGATGAAATTGATTTGCTTAGTAACACTTGAAATAAACACAAACACAGAAATATCGCTTTCCAAGCGTTATAAATTGTTTGTAATAAGCAGATTCAGTATATATAGTGTATAAGACCAGCCAGAAATCATCAGACCATACAATGAATACAAAATACACCAAAACAACTGCATTGTTACCGGCTAATGATATTCCCCGTATTTATAGCATCATGCATGCAAAGCATTCTGGTCGGTTAACAGAAATGCATTCTGGTCGGTTAACAGCAGTGCATTCTGGTCAGAGAAACGGAAGTAAAATCTTACTTTCAAAGCCCAATACGAATTAGAACTGCGACTTGCTCGCTCGCTTCAGGCTCGCTCGCTGCGTCAGCAATGCGACCTACGTCAGTAAACTTACACCATCACTACACGGGGCAACAGACGTCCGTGTTCTTACAATAGTATATGGCATTATGGGGTCTAGGAACCTTTGGAAATCCTGTTGAAGTTTTAGATAAGGCCCCTAGTTTTGAAAAATCAATTACAAGTAACAACTACTACAAATGTTGACAAATAAGGCAGTATATAGTACGATTATTTACATAAAATAGTTAAAAGAATAAGGAGATAAAAGTCGACTTTATTTTGCAGTATTTGCATTAAGCAGATAGTAAGTAATAGGATTTTATTTTTTTCTTAAAAGAGAAATTTGATAGTTTTGATATTTTCATTGAGACCATTCCATATAGAGACCCCTGGCCTTTGTTAAACACAGTATATTTACGATAATTAGTTCTTTGAAAGTGCACGTGTAACTTGGTGGAATTACGTGTATTATAATTGTGTAGTTCACTATTTTGTTTAAAATAATCACAATAAAAGTCCGGCAAATTATTTTGATAACTGAAAAGAATCGATACATAAATATACTACATAGATAATCATTAATTTTGTAAACATTGAAGATTTTCAAGTCCAAAAATAATGGTTCAGAATGATCCGAATAAGGTTTAAAACAAATTAATCGAACAATTTTCTTTTGTACATTCATTATTTTTTGCAATCTTGTGGGATATGTATTTCTCCAAACAAGATTCCCGTACGATCCCCATGGATAAGCTAATGCGTAGTAAATCAATTTTAAAGTGTTTCTATTTGTATAATGTCTTAGTTTAGCGATCAGACCTGTACATTAATAATAGTTTTCAGAACTGAGCTGATGTGGTTCTTCCATGTCAACTCTTCGTCAATTATAACTCCTAGAAACTTTACAAACGTCACTTGCTTAACCAAATCATTATTTATTTTGATTGTATTATCTGTATTCAGTAAGTTTAACATTCATTTCAGTTGAACTATGTTGTTTATATTTTACAATTTGAGTTCTTTCCTGCAAATAATCTTTAAACCACTGAAGACAAGTTCCTCTTATTCCATAATGTTGAAGCATTTTAAAAAGAATTTCAAAGTTGACTGTATCGAAAGCTTTAGAAGGTCAAGGAAAATACCCATTTTGTATTTACCTTCATCAATTGCTTTAGAAATTTTATTCGTTATAGTTCTAGAATGGCATGTTCGGTAGATCTATTTCTGCGAAATCCATATTGATGTTTTGATATTTTTTTTGTTTCAACATAATTATATAGTCTTTTGTACATGAGCTCTCAAGAAGAAGAGAAACAAGTCAAAACCGATATTGGTCTGTAGTTCTCAAAAAGGTTACTCTCATTCGCTTTAAAAATAGGAGTAACTAAAGCAATTTTAAGGGATTTTGGAATCTTTCCAGTCAGAAAAGTTAAATTATAGATATAATTTAAAGGTTTAAGTATTTCTGCGTTTATTGTTTTTATCATTTTTGAGCTTATTTCATCATGTCCTGCACTTTTATTTTCTCTTAAATTAATTATTTCGTTCAGTAACTCATTTTCAGTTACAGGCTCAAAAAACATACTTTCAACATAATTGCCTTTAAGGTAGTCTTCATATGATATGTCATTGACCTTGGGAATTGTTTTAGCAAGTTGGGGGCCCACGTTTACAGAATATTCATTAAATTTGTTTGCAATATCAACCGGATTTGTAACATTGGTGTTTGAATCTTTTTGCAAGAACGTGTCAGGTAGTTTTGATTTAGTTTTACTTCTATTAAAGACTTCATTGATAGTTTGCCATGTCATTTTTATGTCATTTTTGTATTATAGAAATTGATTTTCGTAATAGACTTTCTTTGCAGCTTTGATTACATGATTCAGTGTATTTTTGTATGTTTTGTACTTTATTTCATTTCTATACGACGGGTTTTTCAAATACTGTTTTTATAAAGTTGATTTTTTTGGATATAGACTTCAAAATACCACCTGTCATCCCTGGACTTTTTGCATGATCAATAGCTTTTGGTTTCATTTATAATAAGGGAAAACTCTTATTAATTGCTACTTTTAAGCTATTATGAAAATTATTGTAAGATTCACACGCGTCATTTGTTTGGAAGTACTTTCCCATGATATTTTCTTTACAGAGACTATTAAAAACGAAGCAAGACTATCGATCTTAATTTGTTGACAATTCTTTTGTAGTACATATTATTTGCCTTTACGCGTCAACATGATATATGTATTAATGATATGCAAAGTTAGTTCCGTGATTTCTGGCCATGTGATATTCACACTAAAGGTCATAAGCTTGCCAACCATCTCACTAGACTAAAAATCATGTTATAATACACAATATTTGGCCCACGCAAGTAAGAAATTAATCACGTTGTCGGTTATCTGATGCGTAAACTTTTTCAATATATTTCGGATGGACATGAAACTTGCTACATCAATATAACTTTCCATTCCGAACAATCGTATGTTTTTATTTTTGAGATTTAACGGTTTTTGGCGGGAAAATGACGTCACGAAACCTCCAGTTAAAATTTACTTTCAATATCTTAATAGTTTTGTCGCAGAATTTGGAAGAACATGTCATGAACAGTTCAAAACTGAAAACGGATTTTAAATATCTAAACCTAATCCAAAGTTATTTCACTACAAAAACCGAGAAAAATCTAAAAATAGTAACAAAATGGTGGAAAATTCGATTCTAAACTCCCTGTATCTCGTGATTAGATTAAGATATTTAAAATCTGTTTTCAGTTTTGAACTCTTCATGACATGATCTTCCACATTCTGCTTAAAAACTATTAAGATATTGAAAATAAATTTTAACTGGAGGTTTCGTGACGTCATTTTCCCGCCAAAAACCGTTAAATCTCAAAAATAAAAAACATACGATTGTTCGGAATGGAAAGTAATATTGATGTAGCAAGTTTCATGTCCATCCGAAATATATTGAAAAAGTTTATATCAGATGGCCGATTTGTGAGAACAGCTGATCCGGCGTGAATTAATATAAGCCTTCTGAAGCTGTTGCCATTAACAAATTAACTATAGCATTCCATACAACTAGCATTCCATAACATTACTGTCAATTATAAAATAGCCTTTTAAAAACGATAGAAACGCGGGGAATTTTCACGCGGGTTGCGTGGATTGCGCGGGAGTTTAAAAATTAAAAGACAAAATACAAACAATTTTAATTTTGAAAAACGTCCCGAAACGCCGAAGAACCGTTACAAAAAAAGGTAACACTTTGCTAACTTAGAAAGCGAATACCTATACTGCACAAAGTATAATTATAGCACACGTTGTATCTGTTTGACTGTTTACCAAGCCAGGTGAGATATTTTAATTTTACTTTGTCTTCAGTTTAGAAAAATATTTCCTCGCGACGATTTTAATCATGTTTACTATAGTTTTTAATCATGTTTAAACGTTCGCTAACTATTCAAAACAGTGCTTTCTTTTCATGCAAGCATGTACGTTGTTGAGTGAATTATATACTTAGTGAAGTAGCCTGTTGTTTTGACAGTGATATACTTGTTTACTTCGCAATGCTTTTATAATTATTCTTTACACGAACGTATATTAAGGTGGAATTAATATTTGAATGAAAGCAATTAATATCAATAAATTTATCTTTTCTATTGTTTTTAAAAGGCTAATAAAGGAAATAGAAAGCATTTTTCCGTGTTACTATAGAGTTTATAGAATGACTTGTGAAAGTTTGGGAGAAACTCGAAATTGCGTGGAAACTCTCGCACTTCGTGCTCGTGTTCCCACGCAATTTCTCGTCTCTCCCAAACTTTCACGCGTGTTTCTATAACTCTATAAAAACACAGAAAATGTTTTCTATTTCTTAAATATTAACGGCAAATGGTTTGACCATTAAATGACGCCAAGATCCTTTTCACTGACACTGTCAACTCCAGTTAGACTTTCTACTATAGTCTTTGTCTTTCGCGTTCCGCGTTTGTAAACAAGTGTAGTTGTTGTTACGGCTCTCGTCCTAATCTGCATGTTCGTAATTTGAGACAATTGTAACGTAATAGTTTCTTAAGTGCACGTAAAAGTCAAGAGGAAACTATTACGTTGTGTCGACATTACGTGCCGATTAGGACGAGAGTATAACAACAACTAAACTAAACTTGTTTACGAACGCGAAAGACAAAGTACGTAGACAAAACAAGTCTAACGTTGTATATGAATTTACATGTCCTAAGTGTAACAAACAGCTACATAGCCGGCCGAACGCTTCTGGAACGGATGAAGGAACATGCCGACAAAAACAAGGAAAATGTCGTGCTGTGTACAAACACATACTAGCTGCTACGACCGAACACTCTTGAAATCACAATCAAACACACAACTGGACAGAACTTGCTCTCACATCGATTCTTCCAGAAACTGGAATTTATTACTATACAAAGAAGCGCTACATATTAAAAGACGAAAAATCAAGTTTAAATAGTGGACTAAAGGCTTTAAATAGTGGACTTACAATTATTTAATTGATTGAAATCCACTGAATGAAAGAAGAACGTGATCTGATCACGAATATAACGTAATTAATGGTTGCTTACTCACATTTGCAAACGCTACCTTGTTTAAAAATTGCTTACGCATTTCGTGTCTTTGTCAAACGAGAAGATTTCCATGAGAATTTATGAGGGTAGATTGCATGGGTATTAACACGCATGCGTCTGTGTAATATAACGACATGTTTTGTGAATAGCTGCCAAAGATGAATCAGATTTGATTCGAAATATACAGTTTTTATAAATTGTGTGTTATTATTATGCACTCCTTATTTGGAATAACTTTTATTCTATATTTTCTGAAATTATCAGCCGGAAAAGGACAATGAGGGTTTTATGGCTATATCATGTATACACCCATGTCCATAAATTTTGATATCTGAACAGAATTTTGATACTGTCCCAAAGCACTCTCCTCCGCAGAGTCTGAATTATATAGGATTTGTAGGGATAGTAGAGGATATTTAGTGGTGCGCGACGGGGGGGTGAGATAGATCGATGGTTTACAAAATGTAATCAAGACTCTGCCATATAATGCGCGTTTCTCGGGTTGATTCTGCGGTTCTCGGGTATGGCTGAAATAAGGCAAGAAAACGACTCGGAAAGCAGCGATGTGGACATTTTAGAAGTTTCCCTTCACAATTTAGGTATCGAGGGTAAGTTGAATGAATTTTATACAATATTTATGTCGCATTTGCCGGTATTGACGGCATGTTTTACATATCTGTATAGCGACAGTATACGTCATAGTATCATGGCTTTGTTATTGTTTTTATCTCTCCCAAAATCAACAAATAAAGTTTAAAATATCATATATGGTACATTGCCAGTAAGAATTATATAAAAGCAGCAAGGAATCACAAAGGATGGCTTAAATATACGACGGATTGATACAAAAGACGTTTGGTTGTAGTCGGCCCATAAAACGGCCGCCTGTATTGTGGTGTGACACTTATCCTTTAATATTTAGATTGAAGATTCTAAGCAGTGTATCCTATATTAAATACTTTATATCTAGATGAAGAAGATGGATGTTATCCAATGGCAAGTACGCCCCAAAAAGGATGACAAGAAATAGATGAGTGTGCTCTGAAGTGTCCAAACGCCAAAGTGAACCTGGTCGAAAAACGCTTCACATATCAACAGTTGACACAGGTTTGTTCTTAGTTTATAATACTGAGTAGTCTCTCTCAATCTACATATTTTCGTAGTGATATATCTAATCTAGAAATAGTCTTAGATTAAATTAAATTTTGGAATTCAAGGCAGCATCTAGCACTATAAATTTTTCTGTGGTGGTGTTGTGTACTCAGGTGAATAATATGTTTGCGATGTTACTCTAAGTGCATATCCACACCGGGCGAGCTTGAAAATATGCGTCTCTCAGTTCCGCGTAGCTCAGTTGGAAGAGCATTGGGCTAGTATTCCAAAGGTCGTAGGTTCGAATCCCACCGTGGCCGGGCATATTTTCAAGCTCGCCCGGTGTGGATATGCACTTAGAGTAACATCGCAAACATATTATTCACCTGAGTACACAACACCACCACAGAAAAATTCATATAACTAGAACACATTGGTATTGAAGGAACTAGATACTGTTCCGAAATACCGCTTACACGAACCGTCCTGACCGCGTAGCTCAGTTGGAAGAGCATTGGGCTAGTATTCCAAAGGTCGTAGGTTCGAATCCCACCGTGGCCGGGCATATTTTCAAGCTCGCCCGGTGTGGATATGCACTTAGAGTAACATCGCAAACATATCTAGCACTATAGTTCAAAGTACTAATAAGTTCATGAAGTTTCTCTTTCACACAACAGTATGACCAGAATTGGAGAATATATCATTATAAAGTTATGTTTATTCAATGTTGTATCAGTACACTGTTGGCCTGGGGCCGGTTGTATAAAAAAGTGATTAAAGTTAATCATAGTTAAGTGGAAATGTCATCCAATAAGAAGCGCGTATTTGAGAGTTAATCACTATTTAACTACAAAATATGATTAAAAAAGTGATTAAGAGTTTTATACAACCGGCCCCAGTAAGCTAAGTTTGGTATGCTTGGCTGCTCGCCCAGCACCCCCCTAGAGAAATCTTGCTGGATCCACCACTGGACCTTTTAAGAAATGAATGTATTTGAAGTATTTGGATTATACAATGCTAGTATAATTACATAGGTGATTATTGAAAATTCTCCATGCTGATTGGTTGCCGTTGAGGTGATTATTACACGATAATCACCTAAGCGATTTTCAAAATGGCGGCCGAAGCCTTTTTGTTAATTAAATGACGAAGAAATGTGTATTTTCTTATTTTTTTCCAAATAATCACCTATGAAATTATACTAAAACAATTATTCACCTCAGGCTCGGTGATTATCGTGAATAAAAACCTTGACTTTGTCTCGGTTTTTATTCACCGATAATCACCTCACCTTCGGCGAATAATTGTTAATTAATGCAATCTCAAAAGAATCAATTGTGATTGGCTAAGAACTACAGACAATCCTCAATGTTTATCCACCTAAAACAACATTGAAAATTGCCTGTTGGTGACATGATTTTTTAATGAGACACCTGACAAGGTTTTCTTCCCTGCCATTATAATAACATCATAATTGCATATTAAAACAATTATTGAATTTGGGTTTCGCATGACATCAAGACCGGTCAATGTTATCTGCCAAAGGTTGAGGTCTGGTTAATTCTTGATATCATGCTTATCCTCATCCAATATGTAATTGTTGAATGTTTTTACAATTGTATCCCATTTTTGTTTCTGCATCTTGCTCTCTATTTTACAAATAGCGCCTGACACAAACCTTGCTATTCACTCAAGTATATTTTTGTATAAAGTATCAAATCAAAATGTCCAGGGAGAAATGTCAATTTCATATAAAAACAACAATCTAATTAAAGTTACAACTTGCTAAATATATAATAGTAGTATCATATAATTAGGATTTACCAATATTAACATAGTATTATATAACTAGGATTATCCAATCACAAAGATACATTAAATATGGTCTGATATACTTGTGCTAGAAATAGCCAGTCAGAGCTACATTCAATATTTTGCACCTATATAATATGTCAGTTTGGATAACTCCTGTTTTTTAATTTCTGTAGATATACCTAATTAATCAACTCAAACAGATGCCTTTGTTTTGGCAGCCAGTTGGGACCACAACAATGAACAATGATATCTTTTCTGGATACAAGAGCTTCAATAGCATCAAATAGGCAATTCCAGCTTTTAGTTTATGCCTGCAGGGGATGATGGGAAGTAAGGTATCATAGTGCTGATTATGCTGAAAATTTTCAATAAAAACTACCGAAGCAACCAAAATATTTCAATATTTACAAGTATAAGCTATCACTCCATGTTTACACGGCCACCATTTTTATTTTTTCAGCATAATCAGCAATGTGATACCTTACTTCCCATCGTCCCCTGCACGCATAAACTAAAAGCTGGAATTGCCTATTGTCCTGGTCTAAACTTCCAATGTCCAAGTTCTAGTTTACAGCACTGTCCATTGAAATTCTTTCTGGAGTTGTAGGCAATCTTCCACTTTCAACAGTTTCTCATCAACTTTTGGTAGCAACAGTAGTGGCATCATTGGAACAATTTATATCATTGCCAAATGACACTTTGTATTCTGTGTACATTAGTTCATACTAGATTGACACATCATCCATGGAATTATTCTGTAGAATAATTAAGATATTTGTATGTTACCATAGTCACTACTATAGGTTCACCTGGCAATTATAATAATAAATCTAATTAATTATTGTTATTTGTTGTTTTAAAATTTCCAAAATGAAAGTTTTGAACTCATTTATTGGGTCGTTCCAGAAAGGATCCACACTCCCCTCACAGAGGAAATTTTTGCAGTGGAGACAAAATTGTTTCTGATAATAGGGGGGAGGGGGGGGGGTTACAATTCCCTCTCTGGGGGTGGTATGGATGTTTTCTGGAATGACCCATTAGCTTTGCCATGATACAGTATAAAGTACATCAAATAAACAGACAGACAGACATATGTATGTATAAAGTACAAGTGGCAGGGTTACCGCAACAGAAATTATACTCCCAATAACTGCGGGCCACCTTTGATAATATAAGCCACCAGAGTTCAGTGCATGTAAACATTTCACACAAACATTACAAACCTTGGGTGGTATAAATGGCCATTTATTATGCTACCAAGATTGCAACAACTAGAAAAAGTACACACTGTGCCAAATCAAATACATATACACTGGGGACACAGCAATGAATACATACTTTATAGTACATATACTTTGTATTTTTATTCAATCAAAAATAATATATTTAATATTTACATACCGTCTCTAATCGCAGATTCGACAATTGTTTCACAACGTGCAGCGTTTCACCCAGAGTGCATATGCTGTCATTGAATTTCAAGGAGCGATGTTTATTTATATAAACTTTGAAACGTTTCTTCGGTCCAACATCGTCAAAAAACTTCCTTGTTGTTCTCAATGCACTTTGAGCAAACCAATTCACCGCAAACTTTAGGTTTGCATCCTGAAACGGCCTATTTGTCGCCATGAATTTAAATTCATGAGTAATTCAATATTCTTATGTCTGTAATTGGACGCCATTTTGGAAACATTATATGGCAGAGCCTTACGTAGCTTCCGTCTTCCCATCATACCTTGCGTAATTTGTCCTCCCCCCCTTAATATTACGCAATTTTACTAAAAATTCGTAAGGCTCTGCGGAGGAGAGTGGTCCCAAAGTCATCCATCTTCCTTAAGTTAGGTCTCCGAGACCAATATATGTTTCCATTCAAGGGTTAAAAAAAATGAAGACAAGTGTTATTGTCAGACAAACGAAAATATTCATGTTGCAATTCTACACTACAGGCTGCAACACAATGTATTTACACATCGACCAAATCGACGAAAAACAAGCCAAAAAACACTTATTGACCTAATCAATCAAATAAATACTTGCCATAGGTTTGAAGGTCTGTAGTCCAATTATTTTGAAGAGTTTCTTTAGCCCATTTATATACCAACACAATTTTAAGATGAAATTCATAGGCACGATAAGCATGGCTGCCATTCATGGCTGATTGAATAATTTTATGTAAAGTAGATCCATGACTTTTATTATTAAACTGATATCCTGATGAGATCACCGTGTTTAAATAAAGGTTTACTCTACAATATATCCTAGATTTCGACTTCAATAATTACTCACCTTGAATTATTTTCTCCGAGTATATACGAAGCTTCTTCTATTGTGGTTATACCCGCTACTGGTATCAGCGAGTTCCATTGCGTCACCATTTGAAACCTGTCATGGAACTGGAAAAACTTGTCAGAGGAAAATTAAAATGTATTTGTATGCAAATTGTTTTCTACATGTCGCGTGGCTATACAGGGTGTCTAAAAAAACCGCTATGGAATTTCAACAGACAACAGGCTGTTGTGCATCATATAAACGTGGCTACGGTGGCCAAGTGGTTAGCGCACTTGCCTTTCACCTCTGAGGCTGCAGGTTCGAATCTCACTAAGTACCTTCTCAGTGCGACTCGAACCCAGTCCCCATGTGAAAAGAGTAAAGTCAACGCTCTGCCGAACGCCGTGGGTTTTCCCCGGGTACTCCGGTTTCCTCCCACAGGGAAAAGTTGACAGGGTGGGTTAGGTAAAAAGGGCCCACAGTAATTGGCATATGCTGTTGTGGTGACCCTGCCCTAGTTGGCGAAGCTGATAAAAAATAAAAACAAAAACAATTATTCAGTAGCTTTTCATTTTCAATGATATTCTTTTTAAATCGTAACGATGAGAAATGGCCATGCATACTCGTCAAATAAAAATTGCCGGTCAAAATCACATTCTTCCACCGTTGGGAATTCCACCACGGGAAAACGAAGCATAGACGGAATGTTAAATTATTTAAAATGAGCTCAACTCAGGGGCGCACATTGGGGGGGAGGGGGAAGGGGGGTGCGAAACCCCCCTTAGCGTCCGAATATCACTAAAAGTCGGTCCCATTCTTCCTTGATACTGTGCGAAAACTAGGTCCCAAAATTCGGGTATAAGAATTAATATTTACTTCTGTCCGACTCCGTGAATTGGGACCGACAACACAAGGGCTGGTTGGTAAGATGTTATGAACAAGGCTATGTATATGTGTTAATGTGTAAGAAACTATTTCTTGATTTTTAAACGTCAAATCGTAGCGCACCCGCTAAGGTTTAGATGGTTAATTCAGATTAATTATTATCTTGATTTCATTGTTTTGCTAGTTGTTATTATACACTTCTATTTTTCATTATTTTCAGTATTTTATATGGACGGACGAAAGTAACAATTATATTCGAAGAAATAAACTCGTCTCTCTCTCTCTGCTACTATCCGATTTCGCACCTGTGGCCTGCGAACGGATATTCTCATGACAGCTAATACACACGTCCTGGTATTCACACGCGAGCTCATAGGCCTATACACATGTTTTGATTCTTCAGTTCAGAAAAAGACATCTGATTCTATTGATCTGGAACAGATTGAACAAATGTAGAAATATTAAATAAGGGATGAATTTTAATCCTTCGTTTGTACACCTGAACGAGCCGAAATTTAGGTATAGTTAAGACTCTGAGGTTCTAAATATTGAAAATTTTCTCGCTCGGCGCGAACCATGGTGGCGCCTCGTGGGACTTGACCCCCTGATTTCAAATACATTCCCACGTCCCTGTTCTGTGGCATGATGTTTTTGCAGAATTGTTTTTTACCCTTCTGTTTAATTTCTTTTTGAATATCAAAAAGTCGGTCCCCAAGTGGCCCACACCCCCCTAGAAATTCCTTAGATGTGCGCCCCTGCATGTGACCCATATACAATATAGGTATATACAAACATGAAGATATGCGGATGCGGATAATAAGAGGACAAAAGGTGCACTGAAGTACTGAAATGTGCGAGATATTTTTTAATTAAGCTGTGACTAAACTTCGCTGTGACATATTATAAGCACTGTCTTTAGCACAGACCTCCAAGCTAAGGCGAATCAAAAGATATATAAAAGAAAATTTGATATTAAATACTAAGTTCAATGTAATTATAATAGCAACAGTATTTTTTTCAAACTGCAGAGGTAAAGATTTCTTTCATAAGAATTGTATTTCCCAGTGATGTTTTAATGACGTATACGCATAAGCGTGCAGGATAGACTGCTATATATGCAAAGCTGATGAACGAATATAATTGAACACAAACCCGTCCACCCTGTTCTCATTCACATAAAGAAGGAAACGGCTGCATGTGTTTTCCTCCTTTACAAGCAAGGCGGTTTCCCGAATGATCCAACCTTTTAGCAAAAATTTGAGCTGGGAACTGCTAATGATTCACGTAACCCTATGCTTCTGCGTATTTGGCCCGGAAATGATGCTCGTAGTAACGACTATAAATTACAAAATTTTAAGTTTATTTATCAACAAACGTCTTTTATAGATCTTAACATGCAGCCTTGTACATCGATATGAGAAACTGGCCAAATTTCTCGCCACGAGTGAAGGCGAGAAATTTATAGTGAAATAATTTGGTAAACTTGATAAATTCATGGCACGATTATATAAGAATAATGCGGATTTTTCTTCGAGAAAAAGACACATTAAGCCCGCAGCTTTACATATGTTCTCGACTTGAGTTTTTGCAGCTGCTTTCCGATAGTGCTGTAAAATTACAGGATATCCAAAGTAAAAGGAAACTGTTCACAAACACGCAAAATAAGTGTATAGACTAGAACTTACCTTGCATTAGTTAACACTAATGAAATGAATTGAATAATTATTTTTTCGAAGCTGCAGAGGTAAAAATTTCTTTCGACTTCCTGCTGTGCAAATTTCGTCCACTCTCCGCCGATCATCCAAAGTTTTGAATATATAAACTTGCTGTACGTCATTTGCGGAACTGCACTGGCTGGCGGTATATGCGTCCATATTTTTTTCCAATAATTTCGGCCTTTGTGGCATTTGTCTTACAAAACGTCAGTGAGAAACAAATACCCATTCCAAAATATTTTAAAAAGTTCTTTTTGTTTTGCCTTTGATGTCTGTATTCCTGGTTTTCATTAAATCATTCATGTGAATGAGGCTTAAGCCGGGATGACAAAACGACATTCAACATAAAATTCTTTCATTTGTTCTCCCATATATATTATAACCATATGCTTAGGAGTCCTAAATTCTATACATTATTTCCTTTGAAAAAACTACCCTCGTGGTCGTTTTATATATAATATATTATGGCAATGATAACTACTTATTTTGTTAGTTAAGTCGTTCTACTATCTGGTCATTGCTGTTCGCTTCACTGGCAATATACTTCTCGCAATTACTGTTGATTGGTATTTATATGTTGTAAAACCTCTCAAGTATCCGCTGATTGCGTGGACGAGTTTTTCATAGTTATTGCGGGAGTTATTTAACTGCCTGTTGTCTTTTCATTGTGTTATAAATTCACATCAACTAGTGAACTGGTTAATGTTTTAATCATTATTTTACCGATGTTGGTCCTAACCTTGCTGAAAAAATTGAATACGAACACAACTGTAGCTTTCGAGATTTCATTCCTCAACATGAACCAGTTGAGAGATATATTTTCCAACCTGTAAATGTTGCAACAGTTAATAGGCTTATAACCAAATTAACTATCTCCAAAGCTACAGGTATTGACGAAATTTTAGCTAAAGTATTAAAGGCTGCAGCTCCTGCTATTGCAGAGCCTTTAACAAGGATTTTTAATATGTCTATTGCCACTGACAGATTCTCGATGGAGTGGAAAGTAGCACGAGTAACTCAATTTTTAAAAAAGGCGAACGGACTATGTTAGACAATTATAGACCAATCTCAATTTTACCTGTGGTCAGCAAACTGATGGAAAGGATTCTGTACGACCAAATGTATGATTATTTAAAGAAACAGAATATTCTATCAGAACATCAGTTTGGTTTAGACAATTTCATTCCACAACTACCACACTTTTAGATTGTACTAATGAATGGTATATTAACATGGACGTGGCCTATACAACATAGTTGTTCTTTTCGATTTAAAGAAAGCATTCGATACTGTCAACCATGAAATTCTTTTACGTAAGTTCGAACGGTATGGCTTTGGTAATAAAGCCCTGGATTTACTAAGTAATTACTTAACAAGTCGAACACAGAGATGTCAGCTAAATGGAAGCTTTCAGATTAGCCTGCGTGCAGCCTGACTTTGAATGGGGAGAAGCCATTCGTTAATAGATTCAGTTCAACAAAATAATATATTTAGCAAAATGGCGTCTTGGGAACCTCAATGAGAACCCTTTCAAATCTTTTGTATGGTTTTGTGCATAAATTACACACAACATGCTCTTTGTGTTTTTGTCCGCCATTTTTTTCATTCTGGAATGTTGTTTGAACCATAGATATAGGAGATCTAGATTGCTAACGCATACCTAGCGCAGGCGGGGCCTACATGATAAATCCAAGATGGCGGTACAAGAGGGCAAAAAGACTATAGATTCTATTACGAAAATCAAGATTTTCGCATTTTTTGCCGTCGCATTGTTTTTAAACTTATTCGGTCAAATTTTATGGTAAAGAGAAACGTACCGCGAAGATTTTGAGCATATATATGATTGAATTGGATGAAAACTCGCAAAATTATCCAGCGATAAAAGTTCGCGTGAAATGGTCAGTTGGTCAGTTGGAGCGTTTTATTGCCAGAAATACTGTGCTATGTTAACATTTAGTCTTGTGAATGGTGTTTTATACTTGCATCTTTCATCATCATCTGCTCTGTCCTCATAATTATGAAAAATGAACTGTTATGTACCCCCCCCCCCTTCCTTGCTTGTTAGAGAAGTAAACTGATGAGAGCACTGGATAAGGGTCTATCATCTATGGTCTGTTATAATTTGCTTTCTATGCAAATAGTGAGCAAAAATTAAAGCAAAACTGTACAAGTTACATATATATAGTACTATATCAGTACTGTACACGAACTTTTATCGCTGGATAATTTTGCGAGTTATCCAATTCAATCATAAATATGCTCAAAATCTTCGCGGTAAGTTTCTCTTTACCATAAAATTTGACCGAATAAGTTTCAAAATAATGCGACGGCAAAAAATGCGAAAATCTTGATTTTCATAATAGAATCTATAGTCTTTTTGCCCTCTTGTACCGCCATCTTGGATTTATCATGTAGGCCCCGCCTGCGCTAGGTATGCGTTAGCAATCTAGATCTCCTATATCTATGGTTTGAACCAAATATATATTAACGAATTGGCCAATCGTAGCGTGTGTGTTAGGCTTTTGAGCAATAGCCAATCACGGTTGAATACAGAAATCCATGCAATTCAAAAGATGGCGCGAACACGGTATTGTTCCCTGATTCGCAGACTGACTTCTCTCCATTTAAAGTCAGGCTGCACGCAGGCTATTTCAGATCAGAGAAGAATAACTTGCGGCATCCCTCAGGGAAGTATACTTGGCCCTCTTCTGTTTATTATCTATATAAATGATTTGCCAAATTGTCTCAAACATACAACTGTTACACCAAGGATGTTTGCAGATGATACCAGCCTTACAGCTGTAGGCAAAACATTAAATGAAGCAGATGAGATTGCGAATAAAGACTTGAAAAATATTAAAGTGTGGTTGCCTTCAAACAGACTTAGCTTATTATATATTGCGAAAATGGAATATATTTTGATTGGATCACGCCCTAAGATTAATAGCATTAATAGCACCCACAGTTAAGATCGACACATGTCCAATCAAAAAAGTAAAATGCGCAAAAGTGCTAGGAGTTGAAATCGATGAGATCCTAAACTGGGAAAAACATATTGAATATATCGCTAGTAAAGTATCTTCGGGGATTGGTGCGTTAAAAAACTTAAAGAATTTGTAGACCGAGATACATTAGTGCTGGTGTACAATGCATTGATCCAGCCACATTTTGATTACTGTTGTGAGGTTTTGGATGAGCTTGGCAAAGGCCTCGGCGAACGTCTTCAAAAATTGCAAAATCGAGCGGCTAGATTAATTATGAATTTTAAAAATGAGCATGGACAGTCTATCATCTTAGCTCGTACTGCTCTCGGTTGGACATCTCTTGAAGAACATAGAGCATTAATGAAAGCCAAAATCATGTACAAAACAATAAATCAATCAGCTCCACAAAGACTGTGTAACATTTTCCAATTTTCCAACACTGTTAATAGTTATAATCTAAGAGGTTGTTCAACTGGGCTTTTTATTCCAAGGCCCAAGACAGAATTTTTAAAAAAGTTTTAGTTACAGTGGGGCTAAATTATGGAATAGAATACCAGAAAATATTCGATATTCGATATCTTACAACTCGTTTTGTAAAAACCTTTTCTCCTCGCCCTCGTCCTTTCAATTATTAAATTAAGTAGTTTAGTTAAGTGAATATTTAATAGCATTTATATAATAATAGTTTGTACTTTGTATGTATTAGTAAATTAGCTTTAAAATTGTAACAATTAGCCAGCACACCTCTCATGGAAATCAGCAATGTTGAATGAGATTAGTGTGCCTAAATAAAGTTTATCTATCTATCTATCTATCTATCTATCTATCTATCTATCTATCTATCTATCTATCTACCTATCTATCTATCTTATCCATTTGGAAAAAACGCGGATATGACTTAAAAAAGGCTGTAAAATGTTTTTTGGACCATATCCGCGTTTTATCCTTTTGGATAATCAAACCAAAAGGATAAAACGCGGATATAATAATAATAATAATAATAATAATAATAATAATAATAATAATAATAAATACTTTATTTATACTGTTAAAAATCCCATCAGCAATGCAGCTGGTATTAACGGGAGAACAGCGATTACAAGGCAACGATTGTATACAATATAAACATGCATCCTAAATACTACAAATATGAGAATTGTTGTCAAGTTCTAAAAGATCCGCGTAAACAGTACGTTTAAATTTTGAGAGTGATATCATTTCTCTAATGTTTAATGGTAGAGAGTTCCAGTCTTTAGCACCAGCATACTTGTACAATATTTTGAAAATACACATAAAGCGTAAAAATCGTCTCCTGCTGTGCAATGTCAGCAGCTTTAGTTCGCTACGCATCTCTTGAGAGCATTTTCGCCTTCCCTTGTGAAGGATAATCCTCAAAGCACGATTCTGAAGTTTCTCGACCCGCGTCGTTTGGATTATTCCGCACTCATGCCAAACAGTCGAACCATAGTCCAAGATGGGTAGTATAGTTTGTTTGTAGATACGGAGTAAAATTACGGAAGGTAGAAATGATGATATGCGATTGAGTAAGCCAAGTTTTGGATACGAGCGTTGACATATTCTGCTAACATGCTGTTCCCATGACAGAATATTTCTTATTCGACCACCGAGATAGTCAAATGTAGTGACCACATCAGGGATCTCATTGTCCAGATAGATTCCAATATCATTTGCCCTTTTCAGTGCATGCCGTGATCCAATTACCGGCCATAGATTTTGTTTTTTTGACATTTGGAATCATTCTGTTATTCACTCGTTTGAGATCTTTATTCATTTACGACTGAGCTACATCAAGATTAGGATGTGAACAGTGGGTTTCAATATCGTCGGCGCATAAAGAGATGGTCTTGAAGAGAGAGATGGTCTTGAAAAGCAAACAAAACAGCGAGGGACCGAGCACAGAACCTTGTGGGACGCCGTAATTAATTGGTAACAGTTGAGATTGGACACCATTACACACGACATCTTGTTGCCTGTCAGTTAGATACAGTATGAGCAGATCCAGTTAGCCTCGATTTCCCCAAACCCATATTTCCTTAATCTATCCAGAAGAACACGATGATCAATAATATCGAACGCCTTCCGCTGATCGATAAAGGTAGCCACTGAATATTGTTTTTGATCCACAGCGAGTTTCAGGGAGACTATGACTTGTATTAAAGCTGTCACGGTCGAGCTATTTTTTTCTTACGCGTACTGACTGGGTTCGAAGAAAGTTTGGAATTCCTGGTCATGTTCATTCATCTGGTTCTTTACACACGATTCACATATCTTGGATAAGCAGGGTAAAATTGATATCGGTGTATTGACTATACACGACAGACTTTGAGAAATACAGTTCGAGGATATCTTAAGGATCTTCGCCGGGATGTTATCATTCCCAGTAGCTTTGTTGGGGTTTAAATTAGCCAACATATTGGAGATTTCAACATCAGTTGTTGGACGGAAATGGAATTTGTTTGGCAAGGAACTTTCCAATGATGAGGGGAACTGGGATGGTGGAACATGATGGGAGTCAGGGTTGGAAGTAGAAGACATCGTTGTGGGAGATCTGGCAGAAAGGAGATTTGTGGCGACCGATATAAAATGTAAGTTCAGAGAATCGCTAATATCTTTAGGGTAAACTATATCAACGCCTTCGACAACGAGTTTATCAATTTTGGTCGTTCGGTTCTTCGATGAAAGTACTTTTTTCATTAGTTTCCAAAAAGCTTTAGAATCACCGTGGCAGTCGTCTAATTTGCGTTGGAAAAAGTCAGATTTGGCTTTACGCAACCTGCTTGTGAGTCAATTCCGAAGACGTTTGTAGATGTTAAAGTCTTCGACCGATTTAGTTTGCAAAGCCTTTTTACGAGCTTGGTCTCTGTTACGCATCAAAACTAGTACACTACTGTCTATCCACGGATACGAGTTCTTCCTAATTCGCTTACGTCTCACGGGAAAGTAAATATCCATGACTGGCGTGAAAAGTTTCTTCCAAATTAATAAGTTGTCGTTAGAGTCGTCAAACATGTTCATCGTATCCCATGATATACAGCTAATAGGGTTTTGGAAACATTCGTGATTTGCATTTAAGTCGACTCTTCGAGTGGATATTACGCGATGCTCACTATCTTTCTGACAAGCTGAAATCAAGGATCCGAAGATAGGAAAGTGATCACTAAATCCAGACCTTTTGGATAAAACGCGGATATGACTAAAAAAAGGCTGAAAAAGTTTTTTGAAAGCCATCCGTCCGTCCGTCCGGCACTCATCCGCCCGTCCGCCATCCATCCGTCCGTCTGTATCCGCGTTTTATCCTAACCCTCATTTATATTCATTTTTTCTAACATGACGTAAAAGCGGGTAGGATTAGAAAAAATGAATATAATGAGGTGTATTAGTTTTTAATTTCCCTGCGAGAACAAAGGGAATACCCGCAATCATGATATTATAATACTTAAAGCACAAAAATGTGCTAGAGAATGTTATTTAAAAGGAATCAGTGGCGTACTGCCAGGGGTATCCCCCCGCGAGGGATTTTGGGGGACCGCAAACGTTTTTAGTAGGCGCCGAAACTACTGCAAGAAATGAAACCAAAAACTTTCAATTCTATTTAATAATCGGCCAAATGTTATACATGATTATTAAAAAAGGTCATCAAGGTCATCATAATTTCGGACGTGTTTAACAATTTACTCATATAGTAAATTCAAAGGTCGAGCTCATGCTGCTAAATGTACAAAGAAAAGAGCGGCGTGTATCAAAGCTGTATTAAATTACCACGCCACTAATAGGAGTTATTTGGATTCGCAACGTACACTATTAAAATTGCGTGCCAGTCGATAACAATTAATTATGTTAGCAAAGAACAACGATAATTTCAGTTCAAGTGGAGGTGAAGCTAAGTCTCTTCCTTTGCGTCAATTCTATTTATCTCTTTGGACTGTTTGAACTTTCTCCTTCTTGCCTCTGACTTTTTCAAAAGCGACAGATAAATTTCTTCTCTCAAATGTTTGTTCAACAAACAATAAATAATCGGATTTAAACAGGAATTCACGAATGTTAGCAATTTCACAACTGCATTGAAAACAGGTTCAACCTGTTTAAATGACGGTCGGTAACAGTGTGGACAAACCATGTGAAGAAAATAATACAAAGTTGAAGGTGCCCAACACACAATAAAAGCTCCCAGGACGATCGCCATCGTACACATAAGATCTCGTTCTCGCTTTGCCAAAATAGCCTCGTTATTCTCAGCGGAAATTCCATCGATTGTATTTCGTCTACCGGCATCAACTGCTGTATCTGTAGTTTTCGTTCGATGTTTCGCGCGGAAAAGTCGAATAGTAAAGTGAAATGTGTAGAAGTGGCAGGAAAACATGATAACAAATGGCAAACACACATTTAGTAAAATAACCATCATGCTCCATTCTTTTGAAGGTCGGTAGGTACATAGTTCGTCGGTGTTTTCACGCCGCCAAACGAATGGAAGCATGGACACTAGTGCGGCATCGAGCCAGGAGAGCATAAGCGCGGTGATCATCTTTCGTTTAGTTAACAACGTTCTATACCAGATTGGCATTTTAATTGCTATGAATCTCTTCAGGCTTACTACGGTTACACTCAATATGGAGGCATACATGGAAAAGAAATATGTAAAACGAAACACATCACATGTAATACGTTCTTTATCACCACCAGCAGTGTGCTTCTTGGCAATGTACGCTGGCATTGCGCTAATACCGCATAAAATATCGGCCAGTGCTAGGCTAACTATTGGATAATAGGAAACGCCTCTTAAGTGCGGTCGACGATAGAAAGCCAAACAGACAAGTACGTTGCCTAAAATTGTTAGAACGATGATGACTGTTAAAAGAACGGTAACCCAGATTCTTATGGTTACATGTATATGTTCTGACGTGTTTGTCGTTTCTGCGTCTCGAAGACTTGGTGAAGACAAACTTGGAACCAACGTTGCGTTCATGATTGCTAGGAAGGAAATATGAAAATGTTTAATTTTAATTTTAATTTGATACAATAATACAACGGTAATTTTTGGTGATCCGCGCCGCAAGTGAAATGAGCTAACTTACTGATAAAGATAATTGTACTAAGTGGAGTGTATTTACGTATGAAATAAAAAGCGTGAAATATTCTTAGAAACATTGCCAGTGCAGAAGATACTTACACCTTAAGAAATTAATATTTGAAAAACCTACTACAGTATTTCCACTGTTTAGTTCACAGCCTCTACTTAAGCTACTCCTTCTACTGAACCTTCAGACCAGAAGTGGGGAATAAAACAAGCCCCCCTTTCTATTTAGCCCCACCCTCTATTGATTCAGTCAGATTTCCGAAGACACTTGTTTACCTGTATATACCAGTATTTTTGGATCAGTGGTATATATATATATATATATATATATACCCATAAATTATTCCTCTCTTAAATTATATGCTCATAATTAATGCTTCTTACTATATTGCAAGGAGGTCCATCTGCAAAATGGAGAATTTTGATTGGTTTCTAAGCGGAACTGGCCGACTGAGCTTGTTCGGTCGGGACAGCAGAACATTTATAATCTCGTTCTTTTTTGTTTTTATATAGACCTCGCCTATACGGCTCGGTCCATATTACGGAAATCAGTAGAGTGCATGTCTTTTCCGGAAGTTGAAAAGATAGTCTGCAGCCAGTAGATACGTTCATGTGGATGTCATGGTGAAGGAATGCAGCGTGGAAAGTGAAGTTAGTGAGCTGTGAACACGCCAAAGGACAGCCTAATAAGAGTGGTTAGAAGCGACACAAGCGAAAATGAATTTAATTTAATTTAATTCTGAAAATTTTTATGGAAAAGAGCCTTTGGCAATTTTTCAAACTCAATAAAGTTACTAATAAGTAAAATAACATACAAGTTCCACGCTGCATTCCTTCACCGTGACGTCATAAAACATGAACATTACTACTGGCTTCTGACTGTCTTTTCAACTTCCGAAATAGACACTCGATACTGATTTCGGTAATATACAAAGACAATGTCGAAAATTAGATTTGCTTACAATTTCTACTAGAGTTTATTTGACCATTTAATAACGCGCAATTTGACATTTCTGTAAATGTTTTTGACAAAGATAAAACAGTAACAACATATTTTCAGATATTAATATGTTAAAAGTCGAAAACAGAGCAGGTTTTGCATTAGTGTTAAATATATTTGCAGTCTTAAGTACATTTTATTGCAGTTGACGAGCTCTGCTAGCTTGTTCCAGTTGACAAGCTCAGTGTTCTGTCGTTTTGGAAATGTACTTTTATTAAACTTTTCCTCCAAACGTCACGATAAAGATGGCGAAAAACTGAGTCGACTTTGCTTTTAGAGTTTATTACTCTACGGTCTGTGATGCTTTATATGCTTTATATTGTATTTAAATTGTTTTTCAACTTTAACTGCATTTTTACACCTTCCATTATAGGCTTATACATATATATGTATTTAAATATTTTACATTGTAAATCCATTGTATTTCTATGCCAAAGATGGATATTAATTAAAACTATTAAGGAAAAAATAAGAAGAGCGACCAATTGCCACTATGCATGTATACCGCAAGTTTTAAATCTATATAGCTACTTACAACAACTAGCATACGAAATGACAGTAGGTCTATACTAAACTAAAGACTAAAGTCATGCATGTGTACACAGAAAGAAGACGAAAATTTGTACACGAAAATGTGTACACAAAAGGAAGACTAATGGTGAGCCATGTGACCCGTGTTCCAGGTTAGATAGGCGCTAACAGGAAAATATGCGGAGGATAATAAGTGGGAAAAAGATGCAGTGAAGTACTGAAGTGTGCGACATAAGCTGTGCAGACTATAAACGTCGCTGTGACATAAGCACTAGCATTAAGACAGACCATCAAGCGCGTAAGCTTAAGGCGAAACAAAAGAATATACTGATATAAAAATAAACTTCAATATTAATAATGAGCTGCATGAGAGGAAAATATGTATTGAACTACGCATAAACATGAAGAGGCTGCATATTATGCAAAGCTGGCACTGATAAAAATATATTGAACACTATATAAACCCTTCAACTTTGTTCTCAAGTTAATTAAAGAAGGAAACAGCTGCATGTGCTTTCCTCCCTTGAAAGCAAGGCAGTTTACGGAATGAATAATTTGAACATTTCATCCGGGAACAGACAGACTAGACAGACTCCTATAACGTTGTTTACACCGTTACTATACACATCTTTAGATAACTCTATGCCCTAGCTATTTATAGTGACTATTGTTCTAGTTCACAGAAACATATAATATAGAACAATGCATGTAACTATATATAGGCTATAAGCATTATTAGAATTATGTAAAAGGTCATTCACTCATCTAGATCATTTTAAAGCTTAGTTATATTTGGTTCTAAAACCTCAATAGTAACGAAGCATATGACTTGTCTGAAGTTGTGAATTGGGTACATAAACAAACGTTACTAGCCATGCAAATTTGTGTCCTGACGTAACCCCATATGCATCTGCGTATTTGGCCGAGAAATGGTGACGTAGTAAGGACTACACTATGAATTTCTAAAGTTTATTTTTCGCCACGACAGAGGGTTAGGCAAGTTTTCCATCCCATACTAGGCTTTTAAACAAGCAAAAGGAAGTGGAAGTTACCTGGACATAAACGAACTTAGAAATTGACCATTTCAAAGGATTTCAAAAAAAAATTTCTGCGTTGCTTTTGACGTCTATATATATATATATATATATATATATATATATATATATATATATATATATATATATATATATATATATATATATATATATATATTATTGCTGGATTTACTTCGAATTCGTGTGAATAAGGTTTTTAAGCTTAATTAAAAGCTTTCATTTCACTTTATTCTCCCATAAAGTAACCATATGATTATAGGTATGTTATTCCTGTATTCTCTATATTTCCTTTAAAAAACCTTTTTCAAACATACACTCAGAACTGACTAAAGCTTCATACGTCATGACGTCTACATGTATATAGACTTGATATCAGTACTCTGTTTGCATTACTATTATAAGCTAAAATACACATAAAAATGCATAGATTAGAACATACCTAGAATGAGGTAAAGATCTCTCTCGTAGATATCTAGGACATACAACTTCCTGCTGATGTTGATTTACATTGCGAACAGAAGTTTCCGATCATAGGAAGTTTTGTTTAGATAAATAAACTGGTTGTAGCCAGTTATATAACCGGGTTTTTTTAAACAGAGCATATCCGCTGGCCATTTGAATGCGCCCACATTGCTTCAAAACGTTGCAGCCGTTTGTTCTCATCTACGACTACACAAAGAAGAAAACAGCTTTCGCTTAAATGACTCTGACGTTAGTGAAAACCATGTGAGTTTACGAAATGAATTATTTAAATATTTAAATCGTGGACTGCTAAGTGCTTACGACTGAGGCCGAACTTCTCGCTGCGTGTGAAGGCCAGTTGCTACTTGCTATCCTGGTGTGAATATATGCAAGCAATAGGAAGTAGAAGCTATACCCACAAATAAAAGCTTTGAAACAAATCCCCATTTCAAATTATTTTAAAACGTTTTTTCGGCTTTGCCTTTGATGTCTGTATTCCTGATTTTACTTTAATTAATTAACGCATTCGTGTGAATGCTCAACGAGACTCACACCTGCATGCTTGTATTTTAAAAGCTTACTCACAATGAGTGGAGGTCCAATCGGAGCTTCTCTTGAATGTTAATGCTGTTTTTGAATCAAACTGGAGGGTGAGTAGTCACATAGTAAGGTACGGCACTAACCTTCCAGCTATTCAAAAACAGCAATGACACTCGAGAGAAGCTCAGATTGAACTTCCACTCACTGAGTGTGAGTGTGAGTGTGAGTGGGATTTTAGAATATGGGCGTCAGGTTAACCTGGGAAGACAAAAGGACATTCAACATAAAATTATTTCACTTTATTTTCCCATACATTAACCAGGCATATGCCTAGGAGCTCTAACTTCTATATAGTATTTCCTTTGAAAAAATCTTTCACCAAATATAATGTCCAGAACAAGAGGTTCATATGCCGGCAAAATTGGCATCTGAATGTAGAGACTACATACATGCTGCATATATCAGTATTCTCTATGCAGCGTAAAAATAGATGTCAGTCATGGAAAAGCCGTGCGAATAGAAATATAAGTGCAGGTTAGAAAGGCCGTGTGAAAAAAATAATGAAAATAATTTCCTTTTTTTCGGCGTCATTATCAGAACAGAACTCTTCAGATTAATGCTTTCGCCGTACAAAATATTGGCGGGAGTATTTCGGCTTTGTTCGCAGGGCAACCCGGGGTCAACAATACCATCGACAGTTATGGCAAACCCTACCTCAACTGAGGCCATTGGTGGAGATCCCATGCAATGCCTCTCTTTAATCCCTATCCTCGCCATTTTTAATATTTAATGTTCCGAGTTCTGACTCTTCCACAGTCCCTCCCTACATTTGAGTTTGTACGGGAAAATCATATGGGGAAATATGCCCGTTCGCTGGTTAGGCATTGAAAGACGCGCCGCCCATTCCCATCATCCAACGCGAGCGACTGGGAACGTGTCAGTTCCGAGTTCACCGAAACAGAAACCCGATTCCTCAATTCAATCTGCGTCTTCAGATCTAGAAACACGTGTAGTATCACGTGGTCAAAAATCGCGAAATGCGGACACTTTGCGAGGCATGCTTGTATAAATATTACAGGTGCATGTATGTACCACAGAATATCACAGTACCACAGAACAACAGTTTTTTTTTATTTTTGTTATAAAATTTGTAGGAAACATGCTATATACTTTATTTTTGTGAATATATATATTAGTTTTAGTCTCAATGGTCATAAAAAAACGTAAAATGGATATTTTCATAAAATTCTTAAAAATTAAGTTAGCAATATCTATGCAGTGTTATCACACAACATGGCACACCAAATCCTGATACAATTTGATAATTAAAACCGTTCCTTACTTATTGCCGCACTGGTATTCTGTGGTACATTAGGATTTTATCCACAGAATGTCCGATCTATAAAATAATAGAATCTGCTAAATCTAACCCCAAGACCCCATTGGAAGAAAAAAATAATGAAAAGCTATACTAAAAAATATTTAACAGGCTATGTTATATGCATCTGACAAAAGATATGGAACATGTAAAGTACGGTTGTACGGTATTCTGTGGTACATACACCTGTATATAGGAAACTGGTAAAGCGATGTGCTTGGGGAACTTGCAAAAATGATTCTCGCTACCAACATTTACAAATAAAGAACAAGAATGGCGATCCTGTTACTTTCTAATATCGTTTTCCAGCTCCAAAACGCCGGAAAGAAACGGCAGAAAGAAGGAAGCGATGGATTATTGCGTGTCATCGCGGAGATTCATTCGTGTGCAAGAAAGACAGCTACATATGTTGCTTGCACTTTGTCGGCGAAAATAGGCCAACTCCTCAACATCCTGATAACATATCAGCTATAAAAAGCAAAGAAAAGGTTTGTCGAAAGGTTTGTCGTATGGGTTTGTCGAAAAGGTTTGTCGAAAAGGTTTGTCGTATGGGAAATTTAATATACGCTTTGTATATTAAATAAAATAGGCCAACTCCTCAACATCCTGATAACATATCAGCTATAAAAAGCAAAGAAAAGGTTTGTCGAAAGGTTTGTCGTATGGGTTTGTCGAAAAGGTTTGTCGAAAAGGTTTGTCGTATGGGAAATTTAATATACGCTTTGTATATTACTGGCGTAAAGGTATAGAATGAAATTAATGATGAAATAAAGAAACTTAAACCATCAAAATTCAAAGCTGAAGTTAAAAAATTCCTACTGCAAAAATACAAGGAATGATTGTCAAAACTAACAAAAGAAAATTAAAAATACAAATTAATAATTACATGCAATTATATTTGAACAAGATTTTCTTTTTTTCTCTTCCTTTTGTTTTTTCTCTTTTTTTGAATAGTTATAAGCAAGGTACTAGTAATAGTGAATTACTTATTTATATATGAACAATTTTTGACCTTCAAGTTATACTTCTGTGCTTTAATTAAGATTAATTGGAAATGGAAATATATTATTTATTAAGCTAGCTGCCTCGTTTAACCTAATGGTTACTGCTGCTAGCTTGCACCCATATCAGGATCCAAATATTTAATGTAAATATTTTTTTTTGAAATAATGGTGCTCAATAAATTGATTGATTGATTGATTGATTGATTGTTATATTTAACTTGCGCTTCCGAGCAACAACTTTATACATATTCAATTCGAACTCATATGACTCAACATTGGAAACGCGCCAAAGGAGGAAATAGTAGCATCCGTCGAAAGTCTGTTGTTATTGGGAGAAGACATGACAGAAAGTTCAGAACAAAACCGCATTTGCTCTAAAAAGGACGAAAGCGTGCAGGTATAGCAGAGTAATTAAAATACTAATTTAGAGTAGGGTGCATTGCCACTTGGAGGGTTAAGCCATCATCATGATCTGTTTCTAAACAGACAATGGCAAAATGGAATCGAAGTAGTTACGGGTTTCCAGGGCTCTATAGATGGGCTAGCTTTGTAAACAATATGCCACTTCCATGCAGCATATTCCACCATGACCTGCAAGTCCTGCTAGCGAATAAAATTATCTGGGTGGTAATTCCTTTCTAGAAAGCAGACAACCTAACAAATATTAATGCTTTAAATTTCTGCAGTTTCACTTTTCAGCAAAGGCTGAAGACTGCAAGTCTTACCATAAGGGAACAACTGATTTTCACACTGGTTCGGCTACGGAGATGGCCTACTTTAGCTTTATTGTGTTCCACTTTTGGTATATATCTGTTGGATCTGGCAGTAAGATTTCTATAACCTGGGTTCTACTTTTAGAAAAAGAACTCGAATTCTTACATGGCTTCTCAACATTAACTGATATGAAAGGAGTAAGACGTCCAATGGTTTTCAGAAATGCCAAATGTTTTAATGTAAGAAACATTATAGATTGTACAGAACTGTGCATTGAAAAGCCGTCCATCCATCCAGTCAGCGCCGCACATCATGTTAGCCAGTACAAATCATATAACACATTAAAGCTATTGGTATCAATGTCACCAATATGCCATTTTAACTTTGTGTCAAAATTATATACTGGTTCAATATATAAGTGATAAAGAAATTGCGGTTCGAAAAAGTGGCTTCCTCGATTCCATAGAGCCCGGAGATGCTATAATGGCTGACAAAGGATTTAAAATTCAAGATTTGTTGGCAAACAAAAATGCATTTCTCATAGCCCCCCCCCCCATCCCCCCAATCTAGTCAAGTAAGAATATTTCAGGCACATGCATCAACAGCAACAAGACGGATGGCAAACTCAAAAGTACATGTGGAAAGAATCATCCGGAAAATAAAATGCTTCAGTGTGTTGCGTGGAGTTATTCCGTTGACATTAAAATCTTATATTACATCTATTGTTAGAGTTTGTGCTCCTATTGTGAATTTACAACGAAGCATAATTAAAGTTGAATAATAATTTATAAACCTGTTCCAGAGCATCAAAATGTCATAATTTACAATATAATTTCAATCTGATATTGACCAATATATCTTCACTGACCAATATTTTGCTCAGGGTTCTCGAACCCTGTCTAACTCTTGCTGCAAAAATATTGCCAAATAACAGACTTTACTGTTCATTGCACTTTTGCTTAAATGGCCTCATTTTTGCGTCTGACTGTTTTAGCATGGCAGGTGCACATGGAAGGAATATACAGCATTTATTTGACCTTCATCCCAGTGTGGCAAGCCTATCCATTACCCTATGAGGAAATAATCACATGAAAGTGAGGCTATTGGGGCATAAACAGTAAAGTCTATTTATTTATGAATGTTTATAATGCGATGCATATCATACAATATTTTCCATCTCCTCTTTTCATTTGTTCTTTTTTCCTGTGCCAGACTGGATGTAAACCATTTGTGATCTGTCTCTATACAGGGTGTATAAAAAAAAACTGAACAGATTTGAAATTGCTCTCAATTTCGCAAAACACCTATTTGCATCCGGTTTTTTATATATATAGCTTCTTTGGGTACTTATAATGTAGAATAATGAAAAAAAATTCTCAAACTCAAATTTTGTGAACCAGGGGGGGTGTCTTTTCCAACAAACTAAAAATGGCTCGCGCACAAAATTTAAAAGTTGTAATCATATTTTGAGTTAATAGATGGAAACTTTGTCGGGTTTTTAATTACTGTACAAAATTTCAGACAATTTGGTTGAGTTTAAGCCCTTTAACTATTCATTTTGTTCTAAAAATTCAGCCTTTCTCATGCTTAATTAATGCTTTACCTAATTTGCATATTGCTAACATATGCAAATTAGGCAAAGGCATTAATTAAGCATGCAAATAGCTGATTTTTAGGAAAAATGTAACTTTGCATGTACTAAATTGCCTGAAATTTTGTACAGTAATTAAAAACCCGACAAATTTTCCATCTATCAACTCAAAATATGATTACAACTTTTAAATTTTGTGCGCGAGCCATTTTTAATTTGTTGGAAAAGACACACTCCCCTGGTTCACAAAATTTGAGTTCAAGAAATTGTTTTCATTATTCTACATTATAAGTACACAAAGAAGCTATATTAGTATAAAAAACGGATACAAATAGGTGTTTTGCGAAATTGAGAGCAATTTCAAATCTGTTCAGTTTTTTTTTATACACCCTGTATATGAAGTTGGGTCTGCCTCATATATGTCAAGGTCCTAAGAAAAAATCACCTGGTGTTAGACATTCAAATTTGGTAAAATAAAAACACAGTACAGTACAATAGGGTGTACATTACAGTGGTTTTTTTAATGATAATTAACGTATAGGGTTGTATTAATGTTAACACTCAAACATAACCTCAAAAAAGTGTTTCAGAAATAATGATATAAAAATACCACAATCATTGCTTCCAGGTTGTTGTAAAGGAACCTGAATAACAGATATTAACCCATTGATTGCAAATACTCTTTTCTTGACAAATAATATTTCCTAGCATTAGATAGATTAAAATAACAAAGCAGAACACATTGGGTCACATAGGTTAATAAATTAACTAAAACAACAAACAAATCACCCATGTGAACTAATGTTGTTTTATTAACCCATTAAGCGCCAGCGCTCTCCCCTTGATGAGTAAAATTGTTTGGTGTTAGATAGGGTAAAATAATCTGGCGTTAGCCACAGAGTAAAATAATAAAGTAGGACACATCAGGGTGTAATGCGACTCAATGGGTTAATGTGATCTATGTACTGTACCTTCAAAATTGCTTGTTGAAGATTTGTATGTTTCTTTTCAATATTGTTTAAGGAACATGTATAGTTAAGACATGAATAATACAATTATCATAGACAGTGAATAACTGAATGTTCTATGTAATGTAATAGCAATATAATATACTAACATTGAGAAAGCATTACCTTGTGACAAAAGAAAGTTCTTCTGTCCTTGTTGATAAGTCGCGAGTGAGAGAATCCAGCACTAATATGTGCCTAGAAAATGGAATAAAGGATGCATGCATGCATGTTCACATGTACAATAGCATAACCATTGAAAAAATATCTGACATAAAAAAATTATTTTCATTCATACCATGGAGTGATGATCATCAGAAGACAGTACAAACAACCCATGAATAAAATCTTTGAAACAAATTCCACCTCTCAAAAGATTTCTAACCTTCTTTCTGCTTTGCCATTGATACATGTACTCCTGATTGCAAGATCACTTAAGGAGTTCGTGTGAACTAGGCTTACCTCGGGGAAGACTAAAGAGCATTCAACATAAAATTCTTTTATTTAGCTTTGTTCTCCCATATATTAAACATATGATTATGACTCCTTAAATTAATCCTATACATTATTTCCTTTGGAAAAATCTTTGTCCAATATAAGGTCCAGAACAAGACTTAGTCTATACCAGTGCTCAAGGAAGCGTAAAAATAGATGTCAGTCAAATAAATATTATGCGGCGTCTGCAACATAATGAGAAGATGACGTACTCGTATGCGTTTTAAATGATAAAGTATGTAACCATTGTGGTATAGCCAGCTCTTGTGGTGCCGTGGTTACCACGCTTGCATGCTTTTCAAACTGGGAGACCGGGATTCAATCCTTGTTCTGACCACCACTCAAGGTCTTAAAATAATTGAGGAGAAAGTGCAACCTTTCCTCTGGCATCAGTAAATGGTATAAAGACGTTAAAATATTGGTACCTCGGATCCCCTATCATTGGGAAATCCGGTCGCAAATGAGTGCAGAGAAACTCAATATAATAATACCTATCCTTAAAACTCGTGCAAATTGCGCTCGAAACTTTTTATTTTATCTATACTTGGCAGAATTGAGCCAAGAGACAATGTTTGAACTGCCGTTTAACTCTCTTTCTAATTTTTATTTTTGATGACAAGTTGTATGTTTCATTATTTGTATTTCATTAATTAAACGTACATTTTCTCTAATTAAAACTGCATACGTGCATGAGCATTTGAATTAGAACATTTACCACTGCTTTCTCGACGTTGTCTATAACTGAAATTATAGTTCTTTATTTTTGAAATAATATTCAACGAAGTGAGTTCACAATGTTGAATATGAAAAATCATATTCAGCGTTGTGTCGTGTGCAATAGAAAGACGAAAACGAAATGTGGAAACACGCAGAACAATATATTTTAGTATAAACCTACTAGTAGGCTATCACATATCGTGGCTTCTGATTGGCTACGCTACTAGTAGGCTATTAGTGATAGCCTACTAATAGAAAATTCAAAATGGCTGAAAATTCGCATTTTGCACTTTTGCCGAAGTGTCTGATGATTTTTTTGGACGACTTGTTGAACAATTCTGTACTAAAAAACTCCGAAAAAGCAACAAAAATATGGAATGGCAATTTTTAAGGGTAAGAAAATAGACAAAATAACATACACTCAATGAAATTTTAAAATTAAAACTGAATTTTGTAAAACATTTTACGCAAACAAAAACTAAAATATTTGTTTACCTTTAATGGTTTTATAATGTTTTTTTTTGTGTATTTTTGTATTGTGCTTGCAGCCTAGTTGTAAATTAATGTTAAAGTTTATACTAAAACAATTAGACAACTCGGCCTCGTTGTCTATGAGCAAATAGTCAACTCGGCTTCGCCTCGTTGACTACTCGCTCATAGACAACTCGGCTTCGTTGTCTAATTGTTAAATAGCCGTGTTTACACTACGAGCCTAGGCCTAGCTTTGGACTAGATTTTCCCCCAGCCGACGGCGCGAAGCGCCGTGCGAGGGTACTAATTTCTCACCGGCTATTTACAGACATTTGCACCCGGGGAAACGAAAGCTTTAGCGAAGTCTAAAGTTCATCAATTATCGCGGGCGTGGGTGGTCATCAACAATGGGTGGTCATCCTCACTGATCTCAAAAATATGGCGGACTGTCACGAATAGCGGACACTGATTGGTCCAATTTAAAGTTTGCATTATAACAACTGCATGACGACAGCGAAATAGCAAACATTTCTTGATTTGATGATTGATAAATTTCTTGCAAATATATTTCATTTTTGCCCGCATTTTTGCAAGATTTTGTAAATTTCAAAAGCCCTCTCAGAAAGAAACTGCGAAAGAATCGGCTAAAAGAAAGGAGCCGGCGTTAACGAAGGTAAGTTGGTTTTAAATATTGATTTTTTAATGGATTTAAAACCCGACTGCCTTTGTGTATGAATATGAAACAACTAAACAAGACCGCATATAATTTCAGTGTATATATAATGTTGATTCCTTTTTTATGATATTGATTAAATAAAAAAGAAAGCAAAGTTATTTGCAAGCGAGAATTTTAAATCATTTTATTGCAAACTCAAAGTTTATCGATAAAGCCATTTTAAAAGGCATGCAGTTTAGTTTTATAAAGAACACTAGTGACTTTAAAACGTTTTGCGAAGCGTTTGTGGTTGAATTTTACCATAAAATTAATTGAGGATTATATTACGTATAATAACATACCTGACATATATATGTTGGGAAATTAATAATTTTGTAATTAAAAGTGATATTTTTAGGCGATTTTTCATTTGTAAGAATATTCTTAAAAAATTATCGTGTTATCATGACAACTACTTTAGATACTTCATGTTCGGAAAATATAATGGTTTTGTCAGCAAGGCGAGGGTTTCTGCATGCATGTATTTTCTAGTTGTAGTGTAAATGCACTTCGACCTGGCCTAGGTCAGGAACTCTGGGCCATCAGAACAGGTGTTCCACATTTCCTAACCTAGGCCAGGCCCAAAGTACGCTTACACTACAAAAATCTAGTCCAAAGCTAGGCCTAGGCCAGGCTTAGGCTCGTAGTGTAAACACGGCTTATACAGGGTGTATAAAAAAAACGCAACCTCGGAATTTCCTAAGAAATCACTTTACAATTCTTAAGCATAAAAGATTTTAGGCCCCTGGGAATTTAAATCGAATTGTGTTTAAAATTTTATCCAATATGGATAATTGAGTTTGTACAGACCATATTGGACATTGATAGTGATCAGAACATATTTGGTAAGTTAAGTTAAACCACTATCTGGTCATTGCTGTTCGCTTCACTGGCAAATACTTCTCGCAATTACTGTTGATCGTTATTTATATATTGTAAAACCTCTCAAGTATCCTCTGATTGTGACACGTCGACGAGTTTTTGTAGCTATTGTGGGAATCTGGTTAACTGCCTGTTGTCTTTTCATTATCTTACAAGTTCATCTTAGCAGATTTGACTTTAAATAAAGAAGCTTCAGTTCTGCATCTTCATATCTGACAACTTTTTCTTGGTTATGTGAATATTTATTGTCTGTGTTCCACTTATTCTAATATTTATTCTCAATTTCCAAATTTTAAATGTTGCTCGGAAACAACGACAACGAATCTTGGCTGAAGAAAAGCTGACCGTTAACACTTCCAATGAACAGTCGCCCAAAAAACTGATCGGAATATTTCGTCTCCTCGTCGGTTTGAAAGCAGCAAATACATTTTCATTGTTGCCGTGGTGCTGGCTTTCTGTGTCTTCACTCCATGCAACTGTGGTTGGGTTAGCGATAGAGTTTTTTTGTAGTGAGTCATGCCGTCAGATTTGGTACCTATAGTTTTTCATTCTGAAATTTATGGAATAAACTCGATTGTAAATGCTTTCATCTATGGAATGAGAAATGTCAAATACAGAAAAGCTTATAATAATAATAATAATAATAAATGGTTTATTCACATATCTTGGCATTAATACAATGAATTATGATATGTTTACATAAATTCAATAAATTATCTAAAATATTAAAATCTATATATAATATATAACTAAAATATATATATATAATATACAACTAATTAAACTATCATTGAAGTTTGTTCATTAACTCAAAGCACATTGCTGGAATAAAACTATTTTTGTATCTATTAGTACGACACTTTGGCAGAGACAGACAGTCCTTATTACGCAAAGTCCGTCCGTGCGCGGCCACCCGTGTTGGTGGCAGAAGGTGGTTCAGTCGGTTGTTGGGTTTAGCAATCTTCTCAAAGGTTTTCGTACACAAATCGTGTCTCCTAGTGTCTAAGCGAGGGATTTGGGCTATTTGGAGTGCGTCGATATAATGCAGACCTGGGTATAATACACGCAAGGCACGCTTCTGAACATGTTCAATCTTGTTTGAAAGATAATTTGGGAGGCTCGTATGCCAAACTGTGCATGCGTACTCTAGGACTGAACGTACCAGGGCAATGAAAACTGGCAGCAGGTCAGCCGATGGAACGCCACTTCTTCGCAATATGCGCAAAATGTACAGGCGCTTAGAAGCTTTCTTCACGAGAATGTTGACATTATCATTCCACTTCAGATGGTCATTAAAGGTGACACCAAGTACTTTAAATGATGATACGATACTGAGTGGATTCCCGTTGATATGCAGGGAGACAATGTTTGGACTTTGTCTTAAAAAGCTGATCACCATTTCTTTGCATTTCTTAACATTCAAACGCATGTCATTCTGCTCTGCCCATTGTTGTATTTCATCTAGGTCAGATTGTAATGTCGATTGGTCACGAATAGATAGAGATTCAGAAAGAGTAAGATCGTCAACATATTTCCAGTGACTTGTATGTGGAGACTTTAGTTCTAGATCGTTAATCATAACAAGAAATAATATCGGTCCCAGCTTAGTTCCTTGTGGGACACCTCCGTTAACACTTCCCCATGCTGACTGAAATCCACCAATTTTAACTAGTTGACGACGATTAGAAAGAAAGTCACAGATCCATGGAATAATGCATCTTCTAACGCCAAGTAATATTAGTTTTCCAACGAGGATGTTGTGATTTATCCGGTCAAACGCCTTACTGAAGTCTAAAAAGCATACTCTAAGATAGTGCGAGGGGGCGTCAAGGGTACGCAGCCAATTATTTACCATATCAATCAAACAAAAACTTGCAGATGAACCCTTTAGACTGCCAAACTGCTTGGGGTCTATTTTGCTTCTGATATCATCCATCATCCATCTTACAACGAAGTCTTCGAGGATCTTGGATAAGCATGCGGTAAGGGCGATTGGACGGAGTTTGTCCTCACAACATACAGACTGAGTTTTAGGAATAGGAGTTATGCTAGCGTCCTTCCAATCAGATGGAACTATGCTCGAAGATAATGACTCGTTAAAGATGATACACACTGGTTCAGCTAGTTCATATGCAAATTCTTTAATTACGCGGTTGGGAATACCGTCCAGGCCATGCGATTTAAAAGGCTTGACTTTGAGGAGTTTATGACAGACCTCAATAGGTGTAATTATTGGAACCGGCTGAGGAGCGGGTAAGTAAGCTGGTAGGGAACCAAGATCGAGGGGTGGAAGATCAGCATTGATAGACAGGAAATGGTCGTTTACTACGTTAGCAAGATTGGTCCCAGAAAGAGCAACGCCGTCCTTGATAATATTAATAGGCATAGATGACGCCTTCTTTTTCCCAGACATTTGTTTGACACAGTCCCACCATTTCTTAGGATTAGAGAATTTTAGGTGTTGGACCTTATTAACATAATAAGTGTGTTTCCGTGAACGAATCTCATACTGCACTTTGTTCCTATAATGACGCCATAACGCTTCATCGCCGCTATGGAAGGCTCTTTGTCTTTTCATAATAAGTTGCTTCAGGATAGGTGACATCCACGGTTTGTCAGTATCGTGGATTTTGATTAATTTGGTCGGAAAGAACTGGTCGATAGCTGAATGAAGCTCCGTAGTGAAAGACACAGTCAGGTTAGTAGCACTGACGGGTTCCTGGATGTCTGTGAACCACTCATGAGTACTGCACCACCTACCAAAAGCCTGACATGATGATTGTGTGAAGCGACGCACATAACGCTTTGTTGCGCGCGACCTGACTGTATTATTAGAACTGGTGTCTGCAGACCACATGATAGTATTATGGTCAGATCTACCAAGAGGAGCAAAAATAACCGGTGCACGGTACAGATGAGATAAGTTCGTCACAATTAGGTCTAATATATTGTTACCTCTGGTTGGATCTTGAACGACCTGTTTAAGATTATGGTTCGTCAAAATATCAGTGATATCTAAGCAATTAAAGTCGCCTGAGATAACAATACCACAATCAGGATGTGCAGACCGAATCAGGTCTACACTATCAATAATATATTCAACAAGATCGTTCTGTTTCTGTGCAGTAGCGTCCGGAGGACAATAAACAAGGCCTAACATTATTCCGGACAACGGACGTGGGAGGCGGTAAGGGCGAAGCCAAACCCACATACATTCATAAGCAGCATTCTCGAGATCTTGCCTTCTTTTCGAGGGGATATGCGAAGATATGTATGCACAAACACCACCGCCACGACCAGTAGACCTGTCATTGCGGTGTATATTAAAGCCATTGATAGATAAAATATTATTATCAATGTCTTTGTTTAACCACGATTCAGTAATGGCAATGATGTCCATTGGGGTAGATGACGCAAAGGCAGACAGTTCGTCAATTTTCGGCAGCAAGGATCGTACATTCATCAAGCAAAAACGTGGCAGAAGCTTGTTGTATCCAGAATTATGAACAACGTTGTTATTCTGTTCTGCTTCAGTAATTCTAGTGTTGTAATTTGTATTCAAGATGGAAATTTGAATATTTAATAAGTTGGCACTATTCATTCCACGTTGCTTTGCAATAGCATTTTGGCACCTAACGAATGGTTTAATGGTGTTTATAACTTTTCCACTTGCTCTCCTTAGATGGTTATCGCCACGTTGCCCTCTGGCGAGCGACAGCAAGTTGTAAAACTTAAGTTTCTCCCACACATAACATGGCAAAGGTCGATGCATTAATCGATCACCCGATCCAAATTCATAACGTGATTTCCAGCAATTTCGCATTGAAATAAGTATCTTTCTTGAATAAACCAGCATGTCGATAGCCCGTAAATAGTATGGATCCAAAGATCATATAAAATTGGTAAAAAGAACGAAGTATTCTAGTAGAAAATCGATAAAAATTTCGGAGCTTAAAAGTATGCAGCCCCCCTTGCGCGCTAGTCTATAGGATTTTCTTAAAATTTCATATATTGTATAAAATTATATGCTCTTTCAAATGGTTACTAACACGTAAGTGGTGCCAGCCTAAAAATGAACGAAAATCCCACTCAAACATGAATGTACTTCGCACCTCTTATATTATAAGCCTATTACATATGAGCTTTCAACAACTGTGTGTTTAATTGTAAAAATCTTGCGCGCTATTCTAAAGGATTTTCTTAAAATTTCATATGTGGTATAAAATTATATGCTCTTTCAAATGGTTACTAACACGTCAGTGGTGCCAGCCGTAAAATGAACGAAAATCCCACTCAAATTTGGCTGTATAATTACGCGCATCTGATACACTAAGCCAATTATATATGCGTTGCCAGGAACTCCCTGCATTTAATTTGTAGATTTTGCGCCCGCTATTCAATAGGATTTTCTTAAACTTTTATATGTTGTATCAAATTATATGCTCTTTCAAATGGTTACTAACACGCAAGTGGTGCCAGCCGTAAAATGAACGAAAATCCCACTCAAACATGAATGTACTTCGCACCTCTCATATTATAAGCCTATTACATGTATATCAGCTTTCAACAACTGTCTGTTTAATTGTAAAAATCTTGCGCGCTATTCTATAGGATTTTCTTAAAATTTCATATGTTGTATAAAATTATATGCTGTTTCAAATAGTTACTAACACGTAAGTGGTGCCAGCCGTAAAATGAACGAAAATCCCACTCAAACATGAATGTACTTCGCACCTCCTATATTATAAGCCTATTACATATGAGCTTTCAACAACTGTCTGTTTAATTGTAAAAATCTTGTGCGCTATTCTATATGATTTTCTTAAAATTTCATATATTGTATAAAATTATATGCCCTTTCAAATGGTTACTAACACGTAAGTGGTGCCGGCCTAAAAATGAACGAAAATCCCACTCAAACATGAATGTACTTCGCACCTCTTATATTATAAGCCTATTACATATGAGCTTTCAACAACTGGGTGTTTAATTGTAAAAATCTTGCGCGCTATTCTATAGGATTTTCTTAAAATTTCATATGTGGTATAAAATTATATGCTCTTTCAAATGGTTACTAACACGTGAGTGGTGCCAGCCGTAAAATGAACGAAAATCCCACTCAAATTTGGCTGTATAATTACGCGCATCTGATACACTAAGCCAATTATATATGCGTTGCCAGGAACTCCCTGCATTTAATTTGTAGATTTTGCACCCGCTATTCAATAGGATTTTCTTAAACTTTTATATATTGTATCAAATTATATGCTCTTTCAAATGGTTACTAACACGCAAGTGGTGCCAGCCGTAAAATGAACGAAAATCCCACTCAAACATGAATGTACTTTGCACCTCTCATATTATAAGCCTATTATATGTATATCAGCTTTCAACAACTGTCTGTTTAATTGTAAAAATCTTGCGCGCTATTCTATAGGATTTTCTTAAAATTTCATATGTTGTATAAAATTATATGCTGTTTCAAATAGTTACTAACACGTAAGTGGTGCCAGCCGTAAAATGAACGAAAATCCCACTCAAACATGAATGTACTTCTCACCTCCTATATTATAAGCCTATTACATATGAGCTTTCAACAACTGTCTGTTTAATTGTAAAAATCTTGTGCGCTATTCTATAGGATTTTCTTAAAATTTCATATATTGTATAAAATTATATGCCCTTTCAAATGGTTACTAACACGTAAGTGGTGCCGGCCTAAAAATGAACGAAAATCCCACTCAAACATGAATGTAATTCGCACCTCTTATATTATAAGCCTATTACATATGAGCTTTCAACAACTGTCTGTTTAATTGTAAAAATCTTGCGCGCTAGTCTATAGGATTTTCTTAAAAT